CCGGAAGGTAGAGGTTGCAATGAGCACAGATCGCGCCACTGCATTCCAGCCTGGGTGACAAAGCAAGACTCCGTCTCTACAAAAAAAAAAAAAGGAAGAAGAAAAGAAATCCAGACTTCCGGTTTTTTACCCCCCCAAAAAAAGAAGCAAAAGATCTAGGCACACATTCCCACAACAGAGCAATAGGCTGGAGCTGAATGGGACTGCCCCTCCACCAATGCCTTCCTCTCCTAAGCTGGTCCTCACCTGGCCACTCATTCACAGCACTTGCCTGGCCTCTCTAGACATCTGAATCAATGACCCCTGTTATAGATCACAGGGAGGGATGTTGGTTGCTTGTTCCTTTTAGAAACTGCCCTCTTGAATGAATGAACTTATTCAGGATTGAGTGCTGAATCTTTTCTTGGTCATATATTTTTAATTCACTTTTTTATTATTAAAGTCACACATTCAGGTCAGGCGCGGTGATTCACACCTGTAATCCCAGTACTTTGGGAGGCCGAAGTAGGCAGATCACTTGAGGCTAGGAGTTCGAGACCAGCCTGGCCAACATAGCGAAACCCTGTCTCTACAAAAAATTAGCTGGGTGTGGTGGTGCACGCTTGTAATCCCAGCTACTCAGGAGGCTGAGGCACAAGCATCACTTGAAACCGGGAGGTGGAAGTTGCAGTGAGCCAAGATCTTGCCACTGCACTCCAGCCTGGGTGACAGAGTGAGACTCTGTCTCAAAGAGGGGAAAAAGTCACACATTCTTGTGATGTGTATGGAGAGAGAGAGAGAACAGACATACAAGACACAACAAGCTGGGCGTGGTGGCTCATGCCTATAATCCTAGCACTTTGGGAGGCCAAGGCAGGTGGATCACTTGAGGTCAGGAGTTCGAGACTACCCTGGCCAACATGGTGAAACCCTGTCTCTATTAAAAATACAAAAAATTAGCCGGCCATGGTGGCGGGCGCCTATAATCCCAGCTACTGAGGAGGCTGAGGCAGGAGAATCCCTCGAACCCAGGAGGCAAAGGTTGCAGTGAGCCTAAATCACGCCAGTGCACTCCAGCCTGGGCAACAAGAGTGAAACTCTGTCTCAAAAAACAAAAAAAAACAAAAAAAAAAACCGCAACAAAAGTCTTCTACCACTCCTCTCCCAAGGTGTGTCCCCTTCCAGAGATTTATCTGTACCCATACAGACAAAAACATGCACGTTCCATGAGGCCTCCATGGGGGCTGGGATTTTTGTCAGCTATAGTCACTACTGAATCCCTGGCATCTAAAATAGTGCTTATCACATAGGAGGTGATTAATAAGTAATTGGTGAAAGAATGAATGTTTGTTCTGGAACCTGGAATTGGGTCACAAAGAATGAATAGGAGTTTTCCGGGAAAGGTAAAGCCATTCTCAGCAGAGAGAAGAGGAGCTGCAATCTAGGGAGGGATGTGTGAGAGCAGATGAAATACAAGCAGTTTGGAAAGGCTGAGAAGTCAGAGTTGGGGGCTGGGCGGGAGCTGAAGCCAAAACTCAAAGGGCCTTCAATTCCCAACTAAGGAACATGGCCTTTTCCCAGAACTCAGTGGGATATTTCTAAGCATGGGAGTGACCAATGTGGATTTCTCTAGCTATGGTGAGGAGAAGAGATTGGAGCGGCGATAATAGGGAGACTGAATTCATCATGATCAGGGGAGAGAAGGTGAGGCCTAAGCCAAGGAGTTCTCCACAGAGAAGAAAGATCAGAAGTCCCAGCCAGAGACTAAATTGGGAACTGATGCCCTGTGGGCAGCCAGGAAGGGAGAAGTTGAGGATGGTGCTCTGTGGGTGGAGGTACTCCACTACTCTCATGGCATGGAGAAGACTAGATAAGGGCTAAGAGATGGGAAGAGCCAGGGTTAGCTGCAGTGAAGCTGTAGTCAGAGCTGGAACTGGCATCCTTGGTGGAGAGGCGGGAAGAGGTATCTCTGCAGGAGATTATGAACTTCAAAGGGGGTCCCAGACAGAGCCTGTGACTGGTCCTTTGGCAGGAAGAAGATGAGCTATTGGCATCTGTGGTGGCCAAAGCCCAGCTCCAGGCGCCCCAAGCACACTCGCAGCTTAGCAGATCTCTAAGAGGATGTATAGCCTTGGGCAACTCACTTCTCTCTGAGCCTTGGTTTCCTGATCTGTGAAATGGGAATAATAAGTGCCACTCACAAAGTGGTTGTGAGGACTTGGACTGTAAAGCCACCTAGGAAACCACCCAGATCCATGGCGCAGCAGACAGGAAGTCTTCACCCACATCACACACCCTACAAACCCCATAGGCACACGGAAACAGTCACACACCTTATTAAGACCACCATTGGCAATGGTCCAGGCCCAAAAGCAACCCCCACACTAATCCCTTTCACACGTCAAATCTGACTGAATCTCTCTGTCTGTGTGACCTGAACAAGGTGTCTGGAGAGAGGTGAGTCAGGGCGGGGAGAAGAAGTGTATTAACTAGGGCAGTGCTAGCTGCTATAACAAATAGGCCTGACCTGAAAATTTTTTTGGTGATTTTTTTTTTTTTTTAACTATTTTTACAAGGTTTGTGCATCTGTCAGAAGGCTCAAAAAATTTTGCTTCCCACTTACATAATGGTCTGAAGCTGGTTTCCAGGTTGATGGGTGGCTTGCCTTCAGGCACTGATACACAGACCCTGCTTTTTCCTTCTTATGGTTCCAGAATCCCCTGGGCCTCCTCATCTTCTCTATCCATTCAGCTGAAGGAGAAAGAGAGAGGGTGGAGGGCACACACTTACTTCTTCAAAACCTTGGCTCAAAAATAACACGTCATCCCACTCATTTTCAATTGGTGGGAAGTAGTCACATGACCACACCTGACTGCAAGGGAACCTGGGATAGTAAAGTTAGCCATGTGCCCAGGAAAAAAGGACATGAATTTGTGGTGGAGAGCTATTCAGTTTCTGCCACTGAAGAGTTCAGGTCACAACTCTAGAAGGGGCAGTGGGGCAGAGGGTAGAACAGGGAGAAGTGGGTATCACCTTGTCCCGACAGAAAGACTAGCTGAGGCTGGGCATGATGGCTCACACCTGTAATCCCAGCACATTGGGAGGCTGAGGTGCGTGGATTGCTTGAGCCCAGAAGTTTGAGACCAGCCTGGGCAACATAGGAGTCCCCATCTCTACAAAACAAAACAAAACAAAAAAAACCTAGGCAGGCATGTTGACATGCACCTGCAGTCCCAGCTACTTGGAAGGCTGGGGTGGAAGGAATGCTTGAGTCCAGAAGGTCAAGGCTGCAGTGAGCCAAGATCTTGCCACTACACTCCAGCCTGAGTGAGTGACAGAGCAAGACTCTGTCTCAAAAAAAAAAGAAAAAGAAAGAGAAAGAGTAGTTCAAATCAGAATGGTGGGTGACTTGAGGGGTCTTAGCCCACGCTTTGAAGAAAATATAAGTCCTTGGAGTGGGGATGTGCATGTGTGAGAAAGAGGCAAACCAAGGACTCTAGCTAAAATTTTAAAAACTGGAGTTCATCTGGGGCTAGGTCAGGGCCGAGAGGGCAGGATGTCCACCCTTCAGCCAACACTACATGCTATCAAATTAAGTTTATGTCCCCCAAAATTCATATGTTGAAACACTAACCTGCAAGGTGTTATTTGGAGACAGGGCCTTCCAGAGGTAATTGGGTCATGAAAGAGAACCCCTTAGGGCGGGATTAGGGATTAGTGCCCTTATAAGAAGAGACAGGACGGAGCTGGCTTCCTTTATCTCCACTTGTTATCGTGAGGACACAGCAAAAAGACAGTTGTCTGCAAACCAGGAAGAGGGCCCTCTCTAGACACCAGATGTGCCAGCGGCTTGCCCTTGGACATCTCAGCCTCCAGAAGTGTGAGAAATACATATTTGTTGTTTAACCCACCTGGTCTATGGCATTTTTGCTATAGCAGCCTGAGTTGACTAAGGCAGGATTTCTTTTTTTTTGAGACGGAGTCTCGCTCTGTCACCCAGGCTGGAGTGCAGTGGCCAGATCTCAGCTCACTGCAAGCTCCGCCTCCCGGGTTCACGCCATTCTCC